TTTTTTTTTTTTTTTTTTTTTTTACAGACACAAAGGATTGGATCAAAGCTTCAGTGTGAAAATACATGGAAAATGAGACAGCCCAGAAACCTGATAGAGAACCAGTAGTGGATAACTTAAAAAACAGTTGCAGACAAAGTAGGCTAGTTGTGAAGGAAGCTTAATTGCTGTCTCTACTGAATTTTATTTTAGTCAGAAAAAACTAGTAACAAGCTAACTGCTGCAACATCTTAGATAACAAAGGAAAAACTACAATCACCACTGCTAAACTATTTACCTTCAATTCTGTTGCTTTCTTTCCCCACCGATATCTACAAAGTGGATTACTCATATACATGTTGATTTATTTATCAATGTAACATTAAGGAAAATTAGTCATGCACTATTATAAGTGCTTTTAATTTCTAAAATACCTACATTTAAAAATAGACTCCTAGAGCGCATCCAGACGATCGCGTACACATTATGCGGTGCTGCAGAGTTGTCTGCAGTGCTGCACACCACACATGCAGGCATTCCCTGCATGGCTAATTTGCAGCACACTGGGGGGAGACTGACATCAGGAGATCCCAGTGTCAAAAAAACCCACAGCAGAAAAAAGTGGGGCGGTGCATGTGGCTGCAGCACAAACTCCCTGAAATCAGAGCCTGGCCCACTGGAGTCACACTCCAGCTGCCAGCCAGGCTCCCTGCTGCCAGATCGCCACTGCCACATCCCTGGGAGGCCCCCAGAACCCCAGGTAGGGCTGCTGGCCCCAGCCTCCCTTACTCCACCCAGGGCAACATGCCACACACCAAAGCACATGTGCATGGGCTTTATCTAGAGACAAGTAGCAATGGCACATATTGTGCCACTGCTGTTCGTCCCCGGGGAAACGCATGTGCCTGTATGTCTGGATCTGGCCCTATATGGCAAGATAATTCACTTGTTTAGTTTTTGGTTGTTTTCTTGGCAACCCTTAACAATTGGCTCTATTTCCCTCCACATGCATAAAACACCTTCCTCCGGACCCCACACTGCATCTTTTCTGAGTTGTCACTTTGCAGCTAGCACTCCTCAATCCAGCACAAGGGTGACTACTGGATGAAAATTACTTCTGTGTATACTGTTTTATGGCTCTTACACATGACCCTTGAGGACTGGCAAATGTTCTAGCTCCCTATGGACTGCTGAGTTGTGCCATATAAAAGAGAGTTGATGAGGAAAGGTGGCTTGGCAGCTAAGGTTATGAACTGGGTCACTAGAGAAATAGATGCAGTTCCCCCACTCTGTCACAGGATCCTAGAAAACCTGTAAACTAGCAGAATCCACAGCCCTGACTTAAATGGCCAGTCCCCACCTCCTCCCCCCAACTCAGTGTTTGGAGACAGCTTGGCATCATTGAACAGGGAGCTGCCTAAACCAGGCTAAGGAGAGCCACTGCAGAAAGGCCATGCTCTTTTAAGGGAAATGTCTAGTGTCTGGATCCTCAAAGGACTAGACTAGATTAAAGCAGTGATTCTCAACTAGGGTGCCACAGGTAAGGGTGCCACAAAATATTAGCATTTTTAGATGTGCAAACAGCTATGCAATTCATAAAATAAACCCAAATATTTCAAATAAGAACTATAATATTAAAAACATCCTGACCTGTTGTGGTCTTGAGTTCTTAGCAGCTATAGAATGACTATTTTTCTGTAGTCAAAAACTGAATGCAAACTAAACTAGCATTTTCCAAGCAGTGCTTTGAGTCTAAAAAAAGTTGAGAACCACTGGATTAGTGTGATGCACCTAGCCTTTCAGCACTGTGAAGAGTTGGGAACAGGCTGTGGACATGCCCAGGGACAGACATTTGGGTGCCTAGAGACTTTACGCATGCCCACAGCTGGGTGGCCATTAAGCACAGCTTTGGAAGCTCTAGTCCTTGTCTCTCCGTGCCCATCTGTAAGATGGTGATGGTAATATTTCCCTCCATCGCAACAGCATTGTGAGGAACAGAACATAGTCACTCCAGGGCATTCAGGTGACCTAAGATACATGAAAAGAAGCACAGTATTTGGGGTTGGGGGAAGAGTTGGGGGGGTGAAAGGCTTAAGAAGTATTCATGCTATTCTGTAGTAAGAGGCAGGCTTTGTGTTGATGGAAGACAATACAGGTACCAAACTAGTATTTTCATCTTCAGTACCTCACAGCAGGACACCGAAGATACAGGTATATGTCTGGCCAAAACTCTACAGTTAAGGGAATGTTGATGCCTGCGAACTCTCGTTAAGATTTTCATTGTTAAATTCTTCTCTTGTTCACTTTGATAATCTTACCTTTCAAATGAGATATTCTGTGATCATTTGTTCCCAAGATCTTGTTTCTGATACCTGCCCTTAGACCAGTGCTTCCCAAACTCTTCCTCAGCATGACCCCATTTATGACCCCATTTCCTCAGCATGGCCCCTCACTCCCAACCCACAGCCCATTACCCCCATGACCCCATGCACTGATGTTGTGGCCCCATTTGGGGTTGCAACCTACAGTTTGGGAACTGCTGAGTTAGACACTCCCAGCCCATAAAAAAGCTTTTTATAGAAGAGTACTTCCTTATTAAAACATGTAAGAACATACAAAACACCATACTAAGTCAGACCACAGGTCCATTCAAGCCCAGTATCCTGTCTCCTAGCAAAGTCAGTGCCAAGGGGAAGAATATTTAAACAGCATATCAAAGCTGATCTGTCCCCTGTCCCTAGTCCCCTAAAACTTCTGAGAGAGTCCTAGGAAGTCCTCATTTTGAAGGTGCACCTCTGTCAGATTTACCACCTATCTAATATGAATTTGTCCAAGTCCCTTTTGAACCTGGCTGAATTACCGGCATTTTCTAGACTCTGGCAGTGACCTGCATTTCCCTAAAAGCCAAATAATCTTCTAATTCTACATAGTCTTTTAATTTCAAGGTTTATCCACGTTCATACACTAAAAGAAAATTCAAATGCGAGTAGGGAAAGGATTTTATTTTCAAACTTCTAAAAGATTAATACAAATGATGGAGAGTAAACAAAATCAAAAACCGTTACAAAAAGTTAGCAGTGTCCTTGTAAACGTGTTCTGTATAAAACCAAAGGCACACACCCCATAATACTCTTGTAGACATTTAATAACTTAGGTGTATTTCAAGCCTCTTGTACGTCTAGATGTGAGCAATTTTTTGCAATCCTTTTTAGTGTTCTGTGAATTTTCCTTGGTCACATTTTAAACATTTTTAAAAATTCAGACAAGTCAGTATCAAACAAATAAGGAACAGGAAATCAACATATCTGAGTTTCTGTAGTGAACATACTAAAATCACGTTGTACAGAGATTATTTGAGTATAAGTCACATATGACTTAAAGGCAAATGAAGAGGAGCCTGACCTATATTCTGTCTTAAAAATAAAAATAATAAAAATATTTCCATTTGGAAACATCCTCTTACTGAAATTGTTTTGTCCTGTATTTTAACATGTATTTTACAGATGCCTTGGTTTAGAACATGTATATATAGAATTTGGGGTGGGAGGAAGATGTAATTTAAGTGTGTAAAAAAGTCTTAGTCCAAGCACAACCATTACAAAGAATAAAAAAGTGAAGTTATTTGGTAGAATTAATGTTTTTACTTTCTAAAATGTAAACACCTCGTAATTAAATAAACATGTTCTGTTAGCATAGTGTACTAGCAATGGTAACTCAATTATGAAAAGAAAGTTTGTTACAAAATACTTTACAAATACTAGCAAAAGATCTAGTGAACTACTGATACACTAGAACAAACTGATAAATATCTAGATTGCTTTGGCCACACAGAAGTAAGGGCAGAGTGTTTTCTTGAGAAGGAAAGACAGTATCCATTCCATGCTTGAAGAGCACTCTCTGATGACCTTCCCTACAAAAGGGGAAAAAACAAACAAACAAACAAAATGCTTTATTAAAGGCTTCTTCCCCTGGAAATAATAAATTCTTGTAACAAGCTGTAGCACAGAAAACTGCACCCTGGGTTAATTTGTATTGATACATCCTAGTGTTGAAGGCTGGCTTCCCTGAATGCTTAGTATTCATCCCCACCGCTTATCAGAACATAACAGAAATCCTATTTAGGTGGTCATCTTCTAGCAAGAAAATGCAAATACCCAATATCCAGTTACCTCATCTTGGAATGACTACAATAGATGAAACCACCAAACTCTTATTTTTCAACTAGGAGAAAATATATCCTGACAAATAGATACAATCGCATCCTTTACTTCAAAACTCCCACTCAGGGAACACATGTACCTAAGTAAAAAGACTGCTTCAAAATAAGCAGCAAGATGCATCAACTGAAGCATCATAACTGCTGGAACTTTTTTTTTACTAGAGTTAAAGAACTGCTCTAAGTCATTGTAAGCGAAAGGAGAGAGAAAAAAAGGTTTCTATTTTTTCAGTATGTACATTCAACGAATTTTATATAATTAACTGCATTCTTTTCCCAGTTTCCAGATTGTGGATCTTTCAGACACCAACAGAAAGGGGGGGAAAGGGAAAAAAAATCAATGTAAAAACAACAGCATGTGTCAGGGAACTTCCCCTGTGCCCCAAACTAACTAGTTATCAAGAAGACAGTGTCCTTGAGCAAAGAACAAATAAGGGAGTGTTGTTGTTCTTCCTGTCCTATTCATCATTCACTTTCCATGTGAAAGGCTATTGCTTATTTAGCACTTTGAAATAACCAGGAAGGTCATTTCTCAAAAGCATAGGCAACTCATATTTAGTACCCATAAGAAACACAAAATTAGACCAGAGCTAGTACTTGATTCTGAAGAAAATTACTCATACATACTCTTGCTTCCTCCATGTGGTCCCACAAGATATCAACCTGTCTACAGATGGAAGCAAGCATGAGAATCAGAATAACTTTGGGTGGATTAGACTCTAAAGACTTGTCTACAGTGGACTTTTTAAAGTTTCCCACTGTTGTTAGCACTAATGCAGGAAACTGTAATATAGACAGAGCTTCAAGGGCTGCCGGCAAATGTAATCACTGTGGTGAAACCTGCCCTCAGCAAAATTAGCTTACAGCAGTGTTTCTCAACCCATGGGTCACAAGAATATATGAAAGGGTCATGGCCAAAAATGGATCAACAAATTTAAAAATGGATTCTTCTTTAAAGGAGAAAAAACCTTGGGAAGCCATGGCTTTTCCCTTGCAGGCAGGCAGAGTTCCAGCCTACAAGGAATTGCTTGGGCCCTCCCCTGCCCTACATACTGAGGGGGTGGCACTGGGGACAGGGGGAGAGTGGATTGGGAGTGAGAGGCACTGGGTGGGGACTAGCTATCAATGTTTACAAATGGGTTCTGGTACAAAAAACGCTGAGAACCACAGGTTTAGAGGATGGTTTCCAGTCTATACTAGTATGTTACAGCTTCTGCCACTTGTGGAGCTGCACCCTCTATAGAAAAAGGGAGCTTCTGAGAGAGAAAACCTGTAGACCAAGACCTAGCAAGCAATAACATGCCATGTAAGATTCTTCCCTCCACCTATGTTCAGTCATTGAAGTCAGCGGAAATAGCAAATCTGTGTGCCCAGCAGCATGTAGCCTATTTTGGAAAGTCAGTTAAGTTGAGAAACTACTGCAGGATGGTGGTTAATTTGGTAAGCTGCTGAGTCAGTCCCCAAGGCTAGGGATAGACATTCAAAAAGCCTGAGCCTGAATTGATTCAATCTTTGCAGCTTAGTCTAACCTGGCTGGCTAAATCAGTCTGTAACCCAGACAGACATCCCAGAAATGCAGGCATATACCTGCAGTGGCTCAGGCTAGAAGCAGGGGGTGCTAAAGTAGCCCTCCTGTCCCTTGCACAGCACTAAGGTGAGGGGGGTGTGGCCAGGCTCCAGCAGGATGCTCTGATTAGCCCATCAGGGAACTGATAACAGTGTTTATCACCCCTAACTCAGTGTTTATCACCCAATTAAAAAAACAACAAAGGGACATTATCAGCTACCTGTTGATTCAGCACTGACCATAGTCAGCATGTGGTCTGCTAGCTAATACACAGACACCTCCTCAGCAAGGCAGAGGGGAGGAAGGAATTTCTGCTTAGCACAGAGTGGCGTTGGTGAGGGGGGAGCAGCCTGCAGTCCCTGCTGGAGCTGCAGCCAGGGAGCAGGGAGGAGGGGCCAGCCATGCTGCGGAGCAGAGAGCCCCGCCCAGCCCAGAGAGCATGCTGGGATGCTGAGGGAGTCTGATTTATCTTAAACAGACATTGCATAAACCAGTTTAAGCCAAATCAGTTATGTCGGATTACTACGTTCAGCCAGGTTTATCTCAACCTGGTTTCAGACGTTTTCAAATTGGTTTATGTGCACTGAACATCTGTTCTGTTACAGGTTTAAACCAGTTTCTGATCACTTAAACCAGTTTATGTGTAATTTTGGTCCCTATCCCAAAGGTTGCAGATGGTTTGAAGAGTGCAAAGCAAAGAAAACATAATGTTTGAAAACGTTTGCAAGGTTAAAAATGACACTAAGTATGCTCAGTGTCTCACTTTAGTTCCTCAGAAACTGGATATTCTGTTGCTGAGTTTATTTTATCAGGCATGTAGAGATATTTACTTCTTGGTGTTTCAGTTTACTGTACAGCCATTCTTCCTCCAAGCTGCCTCCCTTCCCCCACATAAAAGGGAACCTGGCTATATAAACAACATCCATGGGAAGAAAGGAAATAGGGACTTCTGCAGCACCTCCTAAAATTGTTTCCTAGACAACATTAATTCCTGAACCATTGGGAAACTAACATGGCAGGCACTTGGAGGCATGAGCATGGCTGAGGTGACCCACTGGTATCTGGTGTAAATAGAAAGCAGCGCTCTGCTCACAAGGGAGGACTGTTTCCTGCCCCTTCATAGGTCATACACAATAGTGAAATTGGAATTCTGAGTCCTTCTGAGCAGAAACAACCCACAGTGACAGTAGGAAGAACTGAAGAACAAATAAAGGCCATCTTGAAAGGGTGCAGTCAAAACCTCAGGGCCGGCTGCCTTTGATCTCCAAATGCTGCTTAGACTCCGAAATGCACAGAGCTATTAGCTGATGTGCAAAGAATCAGGCACCCACAGGGGGAAAAAAATAGCCACAGATGCCAAACATGCTAATATGTAAAAGGACATAGAGCAGACATCTGGAAACAGCATTTCTAGAACCCAGAGGGACTAGAAGAACCTATCAGGAGAAAACAGCAGGCCTCCTGCTAGAGAGAAATTGTTGTGGGTGCGTGAGTGAGCAGAACAAACCCTGGTGGAAGTATATCACTTCTAGAGCCTGGGTTTCAATGTCTATAAATAGTGTACCTGACTTCAGAGTAAGGCACAGGATCGAGGCTCTCGGAAAGGGTTGCTCCCAGCCGGGACTCCAACAAGCAAGGCATCTTTGCAGGCATTCTGCATGCAGTACTGCTGAAGCTCTGCAGCTGCCTGAGAGACCTGTACAAAGAATAAGGAATTTAAGAAATACATCCATCCAGAAGGGAAACCAATGCATTTGCTCCTGTTTGCTGGATACTGCCTCTTAGAAACACTAACAGAACCGGGGGGTGGGAGCACTGAGTCTGCTTCTGTAGCTAAAATACTGATTAAAATAACAGACTCGAGATTCACAAAGCCCTGATGATCCACACACCAGGGTTTACATTGATGAGTGTTTGAGTATGAGTCACAGTGCTAAAATGTAGGTTATAAACAATATTATACCACAAAATCAGTAGACAAGACTCATGGTAACAGCAAAGAGGCAGTAAGCTGATTGAAGCTGAATCTGGTCCTATATTAAATGTTAGAAATTTATCAAGGTTGGGGGCCTAGTGAGATTCCAAAATCCATACGCATCAAGACGAAGTAGCCTAATCTTCAAATGTGTGGAGCAAGCCCTGGGAAGCAAGGCAGGAAAGAGTTTTAGGTATGTACAGTCTCTCCTGATGGTGGCAAGCTGGATAGTATAGGCCTTGTCTATACATGGCTGCTTCTGTTGCCAGAATGCTTGGTAGGAACAGAAGGCAGGGAGGTGAGGGACAGCCATATGCACTGCACAAACCGAGGATGCAAACAGCTGCACAGATGTGAGGGAACTGTTCAGGGTAGGACATCTGTTTGCCAAGACAATGTGATAAAAGGAATAGTGGGGAACAGTAACTGGAATGTCTTGTCACCTGAAGCTTCACCACAAGCCTTGCTATGCACGCCTGGAATACAGCTTTCTAAGCTTATGTAGCAGCCCAGCGTTCCCAGAGCAAGAAACTCGCTGGACTGCAGAAGGTGACCTAAGGGTCCAAGTCTTCCACGTCTGTTCTTGTTTTCAATGTAAAGTCTGTTTACAGAGTCCTACTGAGGCTAATGCTGGTCTCAGATCCAGCAGCATCCCCAAGCAAAGAGTGGCTTCCCTCTGCCCTCCGTGCAGATCTATCCAACTCCACCCACCAAGCTCTGGCGTTCTTCAGAGCTCCTTGCCCTCCAAGAACCCTTCAGCACCTCAGAGTTGCTGCAGAAAACCTTCCCCAAGACAGGTGGCTGAAGTGACACCATCAACAACCACATCTGCTTCTCTGCAGAAGATGACTCCCCAGCCTCTGAGCCTCTCTATGGAATTACTGAGGAGTCCCTTACCCACCTTGAGCCCCTGTCCCAGGGGCAGTCCCAGTACTCCCCAGACCACAGTACAAGTCACTCCACTTTGGGCACCAGGCTCAACACACACAAGCCAGGCTCTTTCCAGTCATTCCCCGAGTGATCAGTTAGTGTATAGGGATATTATGGGAACAGCAACAGACATAACCTACTGATATGTTATATATGATGCTCACCACACCTCAGCAGCCCTCTTCTGCCATCTTTGCTGCTACTTGTCAAACTCTGGGGCCAGTCTATGAGCACACGCGCCCTATTACTACTCCAAACCAGGCCTGAGGGAACAAGTGTATTTTTGATATGCAACATCTGAGAAAGAGAGCAGTCTTTGTTCCATGATAGATCTGCCTGCCGTGTTTACTACATGCATCCCAGGAGCATTTCTTACAGTCTCACTCTACAGGCAGCCAAGGGCTTACACTCCTCTCCTTCAGTGCTATTCTACTGTTTCAAAAGGTGCAAGTTGCATGTGCCACTCCACTCCTGACACCCTGTGCATAGGTACCATTTTCATGATTATGCCTCTGGCTTCCTGAATGTCTTATTTCTTGTGCAGAAGATGGAAAAACCCTATTGTTAGGGGCCCCTTTGACCCTGTGTCCCTCGGTGCTGGGTGTATCACAGCATTACACTTCACAAATAAACTGATCTCAGAAGCAATTCAGTCCAAATCACAAGGACTAGCATGACAGAGAATCCACAAGGGACAACCGCAAAAATCAAAACCCCTGGAGCAGGAGTGCTCAATTCCCAGCCCACAGAGCCATGCTATCTGGCCCATGGGACCCCTAATGAGTCCCGAAATGTGGTGGTGAGGAAGCACTGGCCATTCATGCAGCTGCAGCACTCCCCAATTTCTAGTGCGGCTGAATGGGCCCCACAAAGACAAACTGGATCCTGGTTGTGCCTGCCCTGCTGGGCCAGACTAAGCCGCACGCCTGCGAGCTGACCTGGCACCACTCATTGGGCTGATGGGGTTGAAGTGTGGGGCACCACTGCCCTAGGGTCAGCCTGGCTATGGCCCTCTCAGAGGCTGCAGCACTGGGGATGTTGGGGGGTCCTGAATACCTCTTATCCCTTTTCTGCTGTGCTGGATGTCCCTACATTCCTGCTCCCAGACACTCGGATCCCAAAAGCAGTTCAGTCTGAATCCCCATGACTAGCAAGTGAGAGAAATCAGGGTGGCAAGGGATGGATAGTTTCAAGGGAGCTGAGCTGCACAGGCACCCAACACTAACAAGGCGACCCTAGGAAAGAACAATGGTCACGGGCCATAACTTAGTTTCCCTACTTTCTTCTCAACTCTCTTCAGCTGGCCCAGGGACTCTTGTCAGAGGACCTGGTGGGAATGCAGACATCTGAACTTGAGCTGTACAAAAACACTCCCCCACACAAAAGCACAGACATGGGAATCTGGAGCGGGTTGGAGTCCTGACATATGTTCTGCAATGGGTATTTCCCATGCTTCTGGGCTTTGCTAGTTGCTCCTCCCCTCTCCTGTACATGTCAGGGTGTTTTTAAGCCTCCCCCACAGGCACTGGGTGTTGGCTACAGCCAAGTCTGGGGACTCTGACTGGGGTTGTGCCGGGGTGGTCAGTTATTTTGGGCGGATGGCCGTATACTGAGTTTTGGCAAGCCATCGAGGGCCATATGACAGGCAGCCAGGGGCAGATAAATATTAAGCTTCTAAATTTTTAGGGGTCCGGGGGGCCTGGCGGGCCGCATCTGGCCCCGGGGCTGCATTTTGCCCACCCCTGGGTTGTGCCAATGCTCCTGCTGGGACTGAAGCCAGAGGTTCCTGGCTAGAGAGTCGTGCCCCTCCACTCAGGGTCAGACCAATCTCCAGGTTTGGGGTCAGGAAGGGATTGTACCCCATGGTCAGACTGGTACAGACTGTGGGGGCTTCCACCTCCCTCAGGAGCCAGGGCAAGGCCCTCTACCTCCTGCAGAAGAGAAGACTGAGGGGGGTTGATGGCAGCCTTCAACTCCCTGGAGGGGTTCCAAAGAGGATGGAGCTGGACTGCTCTCAGTGGTGGCAGATGACAGGACAAGGAGCAACCGTCTCAAGTTGCAGTAAAGGAGGCTTAGGCTGGACACTGAGAAGAAGCTTCTCACTAGGAGGGTGGTGAAGTACTGGAACAGATCGCCCAGAGAGGCAGTGGGCTCTCCATCCTTGCAGGTTTTTAAGGCCTGGCTGGAACGATCCAGTTGGAGCTGGTCCTGCCTTGAGCAGGAGGGAGGTCCCTCCCAACCCCCTTTTCTGTGCTTGTGTGGACTGGGTCCGTCTTGCCGGGCTGTGACGGGAGCAGGAGGCTGGCTGTGGTGGTCCCCCGGCCTGGCCTGACCCACCCCTGGCGGGTGGGCACTGGGTCTGCCTTGCGCCGGGGCTGACAGGCACCTTAGGCAGAGGTTAGGGGGCGGGATGGGATGGCTGGGCCCGGGATGCCCCTGCCTCAGTGCAGCGGGGGCTGCCCGACGTCTCCTCCCGCTGCCCGGGGACACCCAGGGCCCGGCGAGGCGAGGCGAGGCGAGGCGGGGGCGGCGGGAGAAGCTCGCCCGGGCTCGTCCTTCCCGGGGGGAGGGAAGAAAACCCCCCGAGCTGGCCGGAGGGCACGTGGCGGGGGGGCGTCCTGCCTCCCTCCTGCCGCCCCGCCGGGCCCGACCCACGTGGCGGCCCGGGGCGCGGCCGCCTGCG